CCTCACAGCCAACAGTGGGAGTTGGAGAAGGATGTGGCACAGACTTCAACCCAATCTGAGATGTTTGTGAACTAAGTGCTAGAGAAGGAAGGAGGGAGGCAAATGAAAGAAATATAGCTATTCTTTCAGCTTTGAAAAGCACATACACAGCTTTTGAAAGAATGACTGCAGAAGCATCAGTCCATTAATTTTTTAAAAATCTGATGCATACGGAGTACCTACCATGTGCCATTCACTCTGCTAGATACCGGAAATACAAAAGTGAGTAATCACCGCAGAAAAAGCTACAACACAAGAAGAAGCCAGCCCTTCCCAAACTTCCATGAGATCCCTCTTTCCAATGCCTTCTCCATGTTCTTGAACATCCTATAATAAAAAGGCAATCCCACTTTACAGATAGATATACTGAGGTCTGTAAGGAATGATTGACTTCTAAATTTCACATTGGGAGTTAAACACGATCAGAATGAGAACCCTGAGCTCCAGGCTCTTTCATGGGATTGCCTCCTTCTTCATTCCCTCTCATTCCACATCCCCAGGTGTGCTGAGCTTCATGGCTCTACTCACTCTGACCCTGCCGTGGATCTATGAGGCTATGGGCTTCTATCCTGTGATAATGGTAGGCCTTGCCATGAACAAGGTCTTGTACAAATGCCAGAGTCTGAATATGTGAAGCTCAACACTCAGAACCATCTCATGATTGTCCCCTCAGGGGATAACGATGAAAAGTAGATTTTTTTCTGACATGCCCTTTCTTCTTAAATCATTGAAGTATATTACATGTGAGGATGTTGGGGTGGACCCTCCTGAGGGAGTCCACCATGCAGTTGAGTGGACTTTAGAGTGACTCTTGCATGAAGTAGCTCCTTCACAAAAATAGGGGCTCCATATCCTCCACCAGCTCCTCTTTAAGTCAGGCAGGATCCCTGTAGCAAATGTCACCAGCCTGCAGCGCAGCAGAGCCAGGCTACCCAGGGTCCATGGTGAGCAGCAGCATGGACAGCCACCTGGCACTGGCCTCATGTCCTCTGGGAGCTTGTATCTTTTTGAACTGAGCTCAGAAGTGAATGAATAAATGAATGAGTAAAGGGATGAATTAATCTTGTCCTTGCCCAGAAAATACGTCCTTGCTTATGACAACTTCATTAAAGGGTTCTCAGATGTTTCTGTTACTAAAACATTCTCTGCTTTGCCTACCTACTTCCTATGATCACAATGGACACAGGGAACCACTGAATCACAAAATCCTATGGGAATTCAGAGAAGGGAAAAAGCATTATGTTCAGACTTTGAAAATATGTGGAACTTGAAGGAAATGTTGATTTTAAATGGCAGAAAGATTGGAAGAAGTTATTTCACGTGGGAAAAACAACAAGAACAAAGGCATGAAGGTAAGAAAGAACATGTTGGTGTGAAGGATAGAAGACCAGTCTGACTGAAACACTTAGTGTTATTGAAAACCATAAGAGGAAAGGTTGTATAGCGGATGATGTTGATGGATAGAAGATCTTCATTATTAGAAATTCAACATGTCATTTACCTTTGTTCCTGCAGTGCCTTACCAAGAACCTGACATGGTATAGGCACTTCATAAATGTTTATGGAATGAGTGAATGAATAACTGAGTGAATAGATGGATACACAAATACATTTGATGGGAAAGTATTCAAGCTGAAGCCAATGAGCCTGGGAGGATGAGAAGAACAGAAACGGGAAGTTTAGACATGGTAAGTTAGAGATAATGGTGGGGAATCTTTGCATAGAAATTTCCCACAGGACGCTATTTGGAATTAAGAAGAGAACAGAGAGTGTACCTAGGTGTAGAGATTTGTGAATCATTAGTAGAATGGTAATTGAATCATGAGCCTGGATAAGCTCTTGAGGGCAGTTAATGGAAAGGCTTCAAAGCAGAAAGCAAGGACTGAGAAGTGGGTTTACACCTCAGGCAGTGGTAGAAAAATAAGATAGAAGAGAATCTATGAAGTTTGGAGAACTGGGAAAGTAGTGTCAAAGAATTCTAGATAGCAAAGCGCTTTCTTTTAAAAAAGGAGTTTGAAGGGTGCCTGTGAAACAAGACTCAAGCTCAGGGCAGAATATGTGGAAAAGGATGTTTCTTAGACATTCGGGGCAGTAACGATAGAGGGGTACAGGCAGTGTTAGTTTCTGCTGGCAAACCACCAGAACATAGTGAGAGGACAGGAGTTGGTAGTTGGGGCCTGAGAGGTTGCTCTGATTAGCAACTGTGAAGCTGAAGTTTGAAGCCCATGGATGGTCATTGGGACCTGGGATGGAAGTGTTCTCACTCAGAGAAGCTGACCAGGAGAAAAAGAATGAAGAAACGCAGAAGTAACTCATACTTGCAATAAAGATTGCAAAGCAGGTTTAGACCAGGCCTAATAGTCTCAAAGTTAGCAACTTTTTCAAGCTGCCTCTCTCCAGCTCTAATACAGTATAAGTAGCCAACTTATTAAGAGAGAACTCAAGACACTATTTAGAAAGGAAATCACTAAAAACAATAAAAATTTAAATAGGAATTCAGGAGCTCTATTTGTTGACTCAATGGCTATAAAAACTCTGAAAGCATTCTAAAACCTTTTGGTTCCCTATCGCCTTTTTCCTGGGATGGTGCTCATTTGGAGTGAAATTAGGAGATGGGGGGCCAAGGAAACTGTGCCCTGCCCCCTGCCAGCCTTGGAGGGGAAAAAACTCTGGGGGTAGAAGTATATTTCAAAAATAAAAAACAAAGAAAAGAAAAAAGACAGCCAAGAGTCTCTGAGGCCTGTGAGAAGAAAAGAAGAAACCATGAGTAGGAACCAGTCCAGGACTGAAAAAACTGCCAGAAGGCTCAGCCATCTGCCCTTGCATATGAGACCAGCAGAAAAGTCAATGCAGGGTCACACCAGTGGCTAACCACAGGGTTTCGCAGTCCTACAGTCTCAGAGCCAAATCTGCCTTTTCTACTCACCAGCTGTGTTCTCTTGGACAAATTATAGGTTTCTCACCTATAAGTGACAATAATAATAAAAGCAACAACAATATTAATAGAATGTACCTTTTAGAGTTCTCGTGAGAATTAATTAAAGTGATTTGCCTAGTTCAGGACATGATATCCGATCAATGGTAGTTTTTAGAAAAGTAGATTGTTAACAAGAGCATATTAATTCTTTGGATCCCAATGGTCCTGTTGGATAAATGGTGACTCCAGCACCCATGTACCTAAGTTCTAGCCCTCCAGGCTGCTAAACAAACTCTAGGCACTAGAATATTCTCTGTACCAGGCCATGAGAAGGGTATGTCAGTAGTTTTCCAGGATGGTAGGCAATCTACGGGGTGCCATTTAAAGCCAAGAAACTCAAATGAGACCCAAAGGAGAGAAATCTGCTAATGAGTCCATCAAGATAAAGAGGTAAGAGTGTCAGCTTCTGACCATCTGTTTTGTTCTGGCAGTGAGTGCTGTCCAGACCCCACCCCCTGAGCCTCATCCAAAACTTGCCAATGCCATTGATTTGTATTAATCTGATTGAGCATTCATTACCCCAAGTACCAACCTGTCACTGTTTGCTTAGTTTGCATGAAATCAGAGCTACACAAAAATCAATGTGTGAAATCTTTGTATCAACATATAAGAAATAAAAAGGTTTATGTTGGCAGATGCAGGTTTTTAGACAGATTAAAACTGACAAATTGGCACGATCCCCAATGAAGGCAATGATGAGCTGTGGTGAAATGTCAAAGGTTTTGAAAATGGCATGTCGAGGAAAGACATGCATTATCATTGGGGAGGAGGAGAGTTTTGTTTAAAATAAAAGACATTTGGTTTTGTAGGGTTGCTGATGACTTTTTTTTGGAGAAATAACTTGCAGTCAGAAGGACTGGCACAGTGTTATTTTCCCCAAGGAACCAATAAGCAAAGACAAGGAGTTAATGGCTTGACTAAGGTGACAGTGTGCAGTAGTAATGCTAGGACAGAATGGAGGAGGCTGGATACCCACTTCCAGCAGTCACTGAGCCCTCTGACACTCAGAGGGAGAGACTCTCACTTCTTGCCCCTCATATGATTTCCCTTTCTAAGAAATCATAGAGGGAACTCTTCTCATTCAAACAATCACAAGCCCCTGACAGACTAAAGCAGACTGATCAGAGCAGACATCTGAGTATTTTGCACAACTACGTTCTGCATTTTAATTTAAGACAGGCATGCTTGGAGCAAAATGTCCTTTTCTTGGATAGCAAAAATATCTTTAATAAAGGTGACAGTCAACTTAATAAAGAAGAAAAAACCATTCCTAGTTATGACATATTCTACATTGTATGTAGATACCTAGATAGATAGCACTATAGCACTCTGTAACTGTGACAAAATGTTCCTTCAATTTTGGTTCCCCATGTCTCACAGCATTCTTGTGGGCCATTTGCTTTCAACACCGTTAGGTTGTGGATGCTTCAGGAATGCAAAATCTTTTTTTTTTTCTTAAATAGAAGCCAAGAAAGGTAAATATGCTTCTGCTGAAGAAACAAGAATCCACTCAAGAAAATATAAATCAAGTGAATGTGCATGTGTGCTAAAACCAAGGGAAAATTGTTTCTGGTGAATATGGAGAATGATATGGTGGAAAGAAAATAAGCATTGGACTTGGACTTGAACTTGAATCTTGTCTCTATTATAGATTCATTGGTATGAGGTTTTAATCAATTTTTCTAGACCCTTTTCTGACCCTGTAGAATAGGAGCAAGATTGCAGGAGTTTTATGAAGTTAGATGAGAAAAGGAATGTGAAAGGTCTAACATCGTGTCTAAAACATAGTAGACTGTCAATGCAGATTCGTTCTCCATTGGGTCATTCATCATTGTAAGTGATCATCTGCCCCTCCACCTCTTCCATTATGGTGGGTGATTTAGAAACACAACAATTAGCACTTTGTTATTTGGTTATAAATAGATGCACAAATTCTTCCCAGTTCTAAAATTTTTACTCTGCAGAGCAATGGAGACACAATCAAGCAAATAAAATGAACTTTTATTACCATTTAGCCAGGATTTATTTTTATGCGTGTTGGTTGCTGCACCACTGGATCTTCTCCCACTGGCCCTTTCTGTTTTGGTTCTCTATTGCTGCATAAAGAAAACTACACCAAAACTTAGTAACTTAACACAACAATAATCATGTATTTTGTTCACAGATTTGCAGTTTGGGCAGGCTTCATGTGGCATTACCTGGGGAAGCTCAGCTAAGGGCTGGAGGATCCACTTCTGGATGACTCACCCACACAGATGGTAAGTTGGTGTGCCATGTTGGCAGGAAGCTTAGCAGGGCCCAATGGCTAGGAGCCTCTCTATGTGGCCTGGTTTTTCTTGCCTAATGACTGGTTTCCAAGGGGAAGTATCCTGAGATAGAGAAAAGCAGATAGAAGTTGTATCACTTTTTATGACCTATCCTTGAAAATCAAATAGCATCATTTCTGTCATACTATAGTAGTTGAGATATTTATAAAAGCCTGCAAAGGTAAATGAGAAGGGACACATACTTTGTCTCTTGATGGGGAATGACAAGTTTCTGCAAGAGCATGTGGGATGGGAAATACATGACCATTTTGGGAAAATGTAACCTGCCACACCTTTTTTTCTTCTTCAGGTCTTTTAATTACTATTTGGTTCAAACTTTTATTTCTAATTTGCCAGGGCTAGGACTTATTTCCTCCTTTTTATTTGCTTTTCCATTTAGTCTCTCCTTTTTCCCTTTATGCAAGTTTCACTTTAAGAGTAGGAAAGACAATTCTGATTATTTCCCAGGCCTGCCACCATTCTAAAACCTTCTTTGACTGCTCATTGTCTATGGAATAAGCTCAGCTCTCTTCATATGATACTCAGTTGATCCCATGTCTTCATGATATGAATACAACTTTGCAGCCCTTGCACATTCTAGTCTCACACATGCATCTTAATGTCTCAGTAAAATTGGACTACATTCCATTTCCCTGAGGCAACCTTGTGAAGTGGAAAAATCATGAATTTTAGACTTTGGAATTAGCCAGACCTAGGTTCAAATTCTAGCTCTGCCATGAAGCCTTCATAATTCTTATCTTATCTTAATTAATTCTTAGTAATTCTTATCTTACAAGTTGCTGTGAGGATTAAATAAAACAATGTATGTAAAGTGACTGGACTGGCATAGACTGTGAGGATTAAATAAAACAATGTTTGTAAAGTGACTGGACCTGCATATAATAGATTTTAAATGAATATAATTGTCTTTCTCCCTCTTCATTTCCCTTCATTTATCTAATTTTGACAACTGTGTTCAAGGCATGTCCTTCCAAAGCAGGTTACAGACCGGGTTTCCCAGACTAAGTCTTCCCTCTGTATTACCAGCAATCCAAGCAAGTACAACATTTAGAGCAACATAGCCTGTGAAACTACCTGGTTTCATTTTGTTAGCCCCAGAAACCCACATCATGAGTTGGCAGCACCAGGGCACAGGATGGACATCCCAAAGTCCTTCAGTCTGGGCACCTTAAATGGTTTGTCACATACTGACATGAACTGCATTCTGGTTTGCATGCTTCTGAAAATAGTTGTGATATTGTGGCTTGTGTTCCACAAATCCATACTGGATTGGGCAGATGTCAAAAGCGGTCTTGCCACAATCCTTAAGAGCATCCAATAATTTCTCTCTCAAGCTCCTTACTCTTTGGGGCCTGTTTATAAGCCTCCAATCAATTAGGACTTTTTTTGGTCACTTCTAACATTCTGCTTAATCAGTTCACTTATTAATTCTGTTAAATGTATACCTTTCTAATTAGATTTCCATTTAGTAGATGATTTACTTAACCAATCAATGGGAAATTTCCAAGAATTGCAATATCCTTATTTCCAATAACTTGTAGAGTCTTGGAGAGGTCATCTCTCTCATCTATATCAGAAGCAGCGAATCTATGGCAAGTAAGCCAAGTCATTAGACTTAACCTTTTAAGAAGTTATCCACACTAAGAATAGCACCACAGTATAGTACTCTTAATTTTTAATGGAGTGATACTGAAGCTATTCTTCATTCTAGGATAGAATTTTCTTTAATGCTGGCATGGTTCCATGTATCCTGTAAGTCATCTGTCCACAGCTTCTCCTATGACATGCAGCTATTTTTTTCTTCCAAAATATGGTCTAAAAATCTGAAAAATCTGTGGAGACAGATAGTATGGGCACCCACATACAGAGATTAACATAGCCTCTCTATGGAAGGCCAAGGGCAAATAAATAATGCCCTTCTTATCTTCTTTCCTGAGCTCCAGTCTTGCTTTCAAATTCCTATTGCACTTTTACTTCCTCCATGAGGCCTTTCCTAATTTAACTCCATTTATTTTCATTGCTCCATTCATTCTATAACATGAATAGTTACTATTTAAACATTTATTTAGCTCTTCCTCTCTGTCGGGCCCTGTGCTGAACACTTTATATTAATTATCTCATTTACTTCTCAAAATAACTTTGTGACAAAGGCATTATTGCTTTCATTTCATACATGATGAAACTGAAGTTCAGAGGTGAGTGAACTTGCCCAGTATCATACAGTCTGTGTAAGACCCAGGGCTGGAAGTCAGGTCCTCCTGCCTCCAACTCCTCCTTTGACTATCTTGCAATGCTGCCTGCACCATGAAGCTTTCTTGCTGTTCTCTCAACTACCCCCAACTCACTCAACAGTTCTTGTGACTGAAGAGTTCACACTTGATACTCATTTCCTTGTGCATCTGCCTCTTCTGTTTGTTAGACTAAGAATTGCAAAGGCGAGGCATATATAGCTAGTGGTCTAGATCTTTATTTCCTACCCAGGAAGCAACTCTAGTGTAGCGGAAAGAGTGCTGAACTTTAAGTATTATAATTTGAGAGTCAACTCTCGACTTTCCCTCTTCTTATTTGTATAAACTCTGGTTGAGTCAAGCTTGCGGATGCCATTTCTTTATCTTTAAAATAATGGTATTATGCTTATACTGGCATGTATGTAGGTACAAATGTTAGGAGAAGCACTGTAAAGACGAGGAACAATCCTTTGTGTCATCTCTTTAAGCTCCAAACAAAGAGTTTTGTTTTCAAAGGCTGATAAATCACTTGTGATCACTTTAGAGCCCTGGGAAAATAGTGCCTTAAGAGGTGCTTGATATACCAGCAAAGTAACTCCTCAGAGAAGTCTGAAGTTCTGACCTGGGTCGCTCCTGGGTGGTGAGGAACCAATCAACAAATGCTCAGAACTGTTTCCTACCCTAAACAATGGGAAAGGGGAATGGTGTGACTGGCAAGGTGCCAGGCAGCTGTTCTCCCAGTCCTTGGAGGATAGCAATGGTCTCACATTGCAGGGAGAGGGATTTAAGTTAAACCTGAGGAAGCATTTCCTGAGTATAGGCGCTGTGAGACTCTGGAATGCAAGGTTAAGGAAGGCTGGAATGTCTTTCTTTGGGAATGCTGAGAAAAGAAGAACAAGACCCAAATCTATTTGAATGTTGCGTTGCCTGGAGGCAGAAGAAAGAATCTGTTCCTTCTGGACCAAGGAGTTAATATTGAGAAATAAGATCTGCCTCTTGTCTCATCTCACCTTGCAAAATAGAAAACTTCATTGCAATGCTTGTAAGAAGTGACACATGTATCCCTTGCTCTGATAATTATCCTGCACTTCTCGTCTTCCCCAAACATCTGGTCCAGCTCTCTATCGACATCATTTCATTTAAGTGAGCTGTCTCCTTGTCCATGAGTTCTTCAGAAAGCACTTGTCCTTGGGAGCAAGAGTCCAATACCTAAGAAAGCACCCAAAGCTCCAAAAGACCATGGAATATACCACACAAGTGCTACAGAAGATACCCTCCTGAGTTTGTTTTTATAGGTATCACTTACCTGTGGGTTTTCCTTTGCAACTGCAACCTTAAGCACTCCACCTATCAATCAATGACCGCAAATACTTAGGACTGGCTTCCGTGAGCAAGAATGCACAAACTGTTGCCCTCTATTGTCTCATTCCTGCCAACAGAGAATACACTTAATTAAAACTCATTGGGAAATCCTTCAAACAAAAGAGAACTGAAGCTTTTGAAAGGTGCGATGTGTATGAGGTCTGGGCCCATAAAAAATCATTAACCTTCAGGATCCTAGGTGTTGTCAACACAATGGTGAAGAGTGTGATGCCTCTGCACACAACGCAGTGAGCTTGTCAAGGAAATATTCAGCCCCACAAAACTCACAAGGCTGCCCCACTTCTTTTCAGTACTTTTAACCTTTTCAGTGTCTCTAAGACACAGTTGTTTCAGGTAGATGCTGAGATCAATTTGTGGTGCTACAATTTATAATACAACTCTTAGTTTCCAAGGCTTGAATTTTTCCTCCCTTAAAGCCAGGATAAATTAATTTTTGTTTCAATCCATGGACCGGTATCATTTGCTTGGTTCTCAAAAGCAACAATAAAGTACAAATTCCCAGCTTAGGGCCTATGAGTGAGTTCCAGGAGTCTTTGAATCTATTAAAATTGCATTCAAAATATCATGTTTATATGCTGTTTTCTGGCGGAGATTTTATTTCTCTTGGTGGGTGGATGGTAGTGGATGGGTTTGTGATTGTAAACTATAAACAATCACTGCATTCAAGGCAAACTCTCTTCAATTATTCCTCTGCCAACATAGTATCCCTGCCACATGACACATGGATCTCCTGTAATTGATTTGCTGAGGGTGGTCTTTCCCTTTCATGGTAGTATCCAAGCAGCAGTAGCATTACACATCAGGCAAACCAGAAGGATTTGTCAACAGACATAGTCTAGATGATTGCCAGGGTTTCTTCTCACTCTAAGGTTCTAGTACTCAGTAGACTACGACCCAGAAATAATGGCCTTGGACTACATGTTAGGCATTTTATTACTGCTTTTTCTTTAAGGGAAAACATCATTCACATTTCCTTCCTGATCTTCAGGGAACTGAATCTGACAAGCAAAGTAGGAGATGGAGAGTGTTGACTACAGATCCGTTCTGTCGGGGTGTCTGGGCCACGGGCTGTGGGAAGTGAGCAGTTAGGGTGTCCAAGAGGCCAAGCAAATGGTCTTCGAAAATTTGGGTGATGCTGGTGTGACATCTGTGTGCAGGAAATTGCCTGCGTTCTAAGTATATTTGGAAAGGTTCTGTATGATGTTTTTGTCACCTCCAGAACCAGTTTTTTTTTTTTTTTTGAGTTGGAGTCTCTGTCGCCCAGACTGGAGTGCAGTGGCCGCTCCCGGCCACCGCAGCCTTGACGTGCTGGGCTCCGGCGATCCTTCCACCTCAACCTTCTGAGTAGCCGGAATTACAGGCGCACGCTACCACGCCCGGCTGATTTTTTTATTTATTGTAGATATGAGGTCTTGCTGCCCAGGCGGGTCTCGAACCCGCGGGCACAGGCAATCCACTCACCTCAGCCTCCCAAAGGCGCGGGATTACAGGCTAAGCCACCGAGCCCAGCTTGGAACCAGTTTTGAAGAGTTGATAGTCCTGTTGTTTTTCCTCTTCTTTTCATTCAATAGAGCTAGGAATTAATTTGGCTGTAGTTTCCACCAGCCACTTCTTGCCCCGCTTTTGGTAGGAACAGATCTTCCAAAACGAAATTGATACCAACATAATGTGGTTACTCAATCTGTATCCAAACCTTCCTCACCTTCTGGGTTCCTAGGTCTGAGCATGGGGGAGGCAGAGTCCCAAGAAATGACTTAATCAGTAGCTACAGCCCAGCAACCACAGGCAGAGGAGATCAGTGGAAAGTTACAACAAACCCCTGTTGCTCAGTGGAAGAAACAAAAGAAAGAAAAGCTTAGCATGAGAGAGACATAAGGTAGAGTAACTTAATTATTAATTAGCTAATTTGTTCAAAAAATATTAATGTTCTTACCATGTAAGATAGCTCTGCAGCACTGCATGAACCACAGTGGGAGACTCTGTCCTCAAGAAACTTGTAAGCCACTTACATAAGCTGCAGTACTTTGAAAACTGAAGTGTAAAGAGCTCAATTAGTTAACTGGGTGCAGAAAATAACTGCTGTGGGAATTTAGAGAAGGGAAAGATTCCCCCTATGGGGGATGTATGAGAAAGGCTTTATGGGATGGTAAGAACACAAGTGACTTTAGAAGATGAGTAAGATTTGGAGAAGATGGTTAGTAGGGGGAATTCCAAGTTTGGAGGGAAATGATGAGCACAGTTGCAGAAATGAAAGTATTAGGTGCTATTGATCAATAGTGAGTTAGCATGAAACTATTGGGAAAGACTTAAATGTCATACAAAAGGACTTAGATTTCATCTTGTAAGCAAGTGCTTTTAAAACTCTTTCATGTAAACAACACTTTAAAATGTTTTTCTTTCTTTATTTCCCTCTCTTTCTCTTTGTTTTCTTTTTTGCTTCTTTCTTTTACTTTTCTAAAATTAATTTTTAAATTTTACACAATTAGAATTATGTACACTTCATTCATGGTTGAGCCATGGGGTGGACTGAGATTACATTTCTCAGCATTTGTTTTCCGTGGAATTGATAACTGCACTATTTTAAATTCACTTTTTGACTCTTCATTTTTGGGACCCTGCCCTCTCCATACTCAAACCTAGGAGCCCAGAAGGTGAGGAAGGTTTGGATCCAGATTGAATACTACTCTATGCTACCCTGATGGAGTGAATGAGTGGATTCGTTCATTACCCATTGCTAATTTATTCCCAGACTTCACTTAAGGGTAAATCTTCCCTCAGAACTTTTGTTGAAATGTCAGGTTCTCTGGAGGTTCTCTGGAGGACTTCTGGAGCTTTTTGAGTCTCTGCTCCAAACTGAACTTAATTCTTTCTAGACCTGTAACATAGTGTCTCTCCAGGCAATTCTCTTCAACCCTTCTGGTAATGCTTTTCACCCTTCTCCTGGGTTGGATTCCCTGCTTCTTGGATCTTGCATTTCCCTACTTCTTGTTCATATACTCATTTTGTTAGGGCATGCCCATTCATATCCTGAAAATGTATACAGAGAAAGTACATCATTGAGGCCTTACTTGTTTTAAAACATCATTTTCTATTTTTACTCTTTATTGATGGAAGGCATAGAAGTTTTTTATTGGAAATTATTTTTCCTTGAAATTTTGAAAGTCTTTTCTAATGTCTTTTTGCTTCCAGTGTTGCTGTGAGAAGTTCTATGCTATTTGGACCTGCCCTCCCTTGCAGTTCCTTCATTTTATCTCTATAGAAGCTTGTAGGATGTTCTCCAAGTATGACCATGAATTTTGCCAGATACTTACAACTACTTCTATCTGGAGCTACATGCCTTTCTGTTTTGGAAATTTTTCATAACCTATTTCTAACTTTTTCTTCTGTTTTCTCTATTCTTTCTTTCTGGAACTCTTCTTCAGATGCCAACTAGTCATTAATCCTCTAATTGTCTATATATTTTATTTCTTATCTGTCTTGTTATTACACTTTCTTCAATATAACCTTGTCTTTATTTTTCAATTATTGTATTGCAGGTTTAATCTCTTCTATCTTCTTTAATCTTTCTGAAGATCGGTGTTTATGGCTTTCTTTCTCCTCTTTGTGCTGCCACTTCTCCTTTTACTACTTACTCTTGGTATAGCTTCTATTTCCTCTGAGTTTCTTTGTCCCACTAATTTTTTTTTTTTATCTCTGACTTTTCAGTTGGGGATTTTCCCCAAGTACATGGTGATCTTTGATGGTCTCTTTCTGTTTGGGAGATCAGCATCAAAAAATCGACAGCTCCTTTCACATAGGAGAGGCTCGCTCACTGGTGAGCCTCATTTTAGGTTGAAATATGTGGGAATCCCAGTGATCAAAATCTCAAGGTCTTTTTTTTTCATGGACTGGAGTCTTTTTGCTTCCAGTGTTGCTGTGAGAAGTTCTGTGCTATTTGGACCTGCCCACCCTTGCAGCTCCCTCATTTTATCTAGGGGCTTTCCCCCTAGAGAGAATTTCACCAATTTCTTGACTGGTGTGGGGCAAGGGTATAGGTAAAAGTCTATCTGTTTGCATTCATAAGCCTAATAGGAAAAGAACTCAGGGATCTTACTGGCCATGTATAGTTGTTATTAAATTCCCACTTGTTTTCAGTAGCATATCCCATCATCCACTTGTCTGCTGATCCATGTCTAAGGTCCTCCTGACACATTCTCTCCAAATGAATAAACCACCATTCTTCTGTCAGTGTAGGGGAGGGGCAATTATTGCTTCTTATATTGCTTTTTAACTCATTTTCATCTTTCAACCCCTCTTCTCCCCCAATTTCAGAAGTGTTTCCAATTCTTAAGCCCTAACAAAGTTTCTTGATAAAAGCAGCTTCCATTTTGCAGATCATCTAAGTCAGTAACTGTTCTCCATTGGCTTTTGAGCGTCTTAATTTTTGAACTTATGTCTCTTCTTTCAGTCTCTTAAAAAGCTGTATCTTTTCTATTTTTCTGACATTGTTTATGTGGAAATTCAAGAAGGGGTAGAAGCAAACATAATGCTTTAATCCAGCACTCAGGGCAACTTCTATAAATAAAGGAAGTTGCTTTATTGAAGGACAATGCAAAATACATGTGCCTGGCATGCTCTTCTTTCCACCTGTAGATGAGTTGAGTTGAGATACACTTATGAATATGTATACTTGCATTATACCCTCAGGAATTTCACAGCATCACAAGCTGAGACAACATCCTCATATTGCTACAAGTAGTTAGACTGCTGAAAATGAGACATGAGAAAAGCAGATATATTTTAGAAAATGGGTTATCAGAAAATAGGGTAAATAATAAATCGAATATAAGAAAGGTTAAAGGGAAAGAGAGAAGAATAGAAGATTTTTCAATAGTTGAGAATAAGATAATAAGATCTATATGGCAGAAAAGGGTCATCAATTCATTCAACTACTTGTATTTAAAGAGAGACTGTTAAGTGCCAGGCATGTTGACAAAGACTGGATTGATAACTCTGACAGGTTGTATTTTCCAAAGATGGCCTCATGA